CTTGAGATTAAAAGCAAGTAATTCCAATTTGAAGCTGAAGACAGAATTAGTGTACAGGTTCAGCTTTTTTTTTTTGGAAAAGGCTGACCATGTTGCAGTCTGAGGGTGTGATTAGAGGAAAACAGACTAGACATGTTTCTTTTGATTTGATTGATGCAGCGCTAAAGTACCTCATAAAATATTGAATAGGCTGTTTCATGTACAAGTCTATTTTCATGAGTTGGAGAGTGCCAGACTTAACCATGACCATCACAATCCTTCAAAATCCTCCGGTTTTGGAGGATTTTGCATGGCAAAATTGCATTGCCGATTGTGAAGGATGCTTTGACTCAAGGTTATTGGTTTGACCTTATGTTGTTTATGCTTGGTCACGCATAAATTCATGCTCACAAATATTTGTGAAATCCTCCATACTGTTCCAGGATACCTTTCATACTACCTGAACCTAAACTGAGAAATTGCCGGAGGATTTTGATTTTGAAGGATTGAGGCAGTTGGCACCCCTCCCACAGAATACATTCAAGAAGTATCAGAGGATTTTGGAGGATTGAGGCTGTGCCCAATTTTTTCACTGGGGCAGTCGGAGGATTATAAAGGATTGAAAAGGGCCTATGCGGGCAGGGTTAAAGACGGGGCAAGGGAGGGGGAACTGCAGTGTGTGGTTTGTGTGATTTTAAAATGTAAGTGTAATTATAGGGTCTCTGTTGCAGTCACATCCAAGGCATTTGAAGCAAATTCTCCACACATTCTTTGGTGCTTCCACAAGAAGTTGACAAGGATTCTGCCCTCTTGTCATAACTTGCTTAGCCAGGTTACTTGCCATCAAACTGCCATTACATGTATCGGGCATTTTGCACGGTTCAAAAGTGAACAGTGTTGTACATTCGTCTACACATCACAACCTGATTGCAGGTGTTTCCCTCAGCCCGACGTGATGCAGAGTTGATCTGGAGTTGGAGACAAGCTACGTGTTCATTGTGGAGGGGGAGGGGACAAGGGGTTTTGATCCTTCTAAATCTGCTGTCAGTTTAAGTTTGGCGGGTGGTGTTTTTTTTTTATAAAAAGTTGAAGCTTTGTCGGCATGTCACTGGACCAGGCATGTGCCCCTTGAAATTTGGCTTTGCCCATATTTTTTTCCAGAACACTTCATTTAGAGTTTATAGGCTGGCTAGGAGCAGTGGCTTTAACATATACAGTGGAAGGTGTTAATTTCCTGCCCAGAGGAGGGACATGGAAGGCAATTATTGTAGACCAAAAGGACCTGGGGTAAAGGTTGTCAGTTTGCATCACAGTGCTGTTGTTAGTTAAATTTTGGGGGTTAAATTAGTTCTCTTGCTTTGTCTTCATTTCCAGAGAGAACATGGCAGCTATACGAAAGAAACTTGTCATCGTAGGTGATGGTGCCTGTGGAAAGACCTGTCTTCTAATTGTGTTTAGCAAAGACCAGTTCCCTGAGGTGTATGTACCAACAGTATTTGAGAACTACGTGGCAGATATCGAGGTCGACAACAAATGTGTAAGTTGCCTATCATTTTAATACAACCTTGCAATATAACTCTCAAATATTCATACCGTGCTATTTTGAGTTAAACTTTTCCCACATTTTGCTTGTTGTTTGGAAATTTTTCAAGTTAGTTTTGTTTGTGCCCCATCGAAGTCAAAGCAGGTTTTGACGGTTGAGTTTCAAATCAAGAGTGTTTTTGTGCTGCTCTATGCTATACATTGCGCACATTGACATCCACCAAACGTAGACTCCAGTCTGATGTAGGCCCCTTACCCCAGACGGTGTGCTGCAACTTGGAACTCTTGGCCATTTTATCCATACAGGTTGAGCTAGCATTATGGGATACGGCAGGCCAGGAAGACTACGACCGACTGCGACCCCTGTCATATCCAGACACTGATGTCATTCTAATGTGTTTCTCCATCGATAACCCCGACAGTTTAGAAAACATCCCAGAAAAGTGGACTCCAGAGGTGAGTGACGAGGGGGGGATGATAACACAAACTGGTGATCAATAATACATATGATTTTTCTTGTAGGTAATTTTTTGGCAGATAGAAAGTAATGTTGTCATTGGCATAGGATAGTAGTATTACAATGAATGGCTGCTAGTTTTGTTAGTGTATGATTCCGTTGCTGTACCAGTGTCCAGTAGCGTACATTTAGTCCCTGTTGTAAATCTGCACCAGTGTGAAGTCGGAAGTTTTCCGTTAGTGCCCTTCACCTGAAACCACTTATATGGCATAATCTCTTGTAACACATCCTACCGTGGCATATTTACAAGGAACCCTCCTGAATCTGCTAAAAATCACCCTCTGTGCAATTAACCAGTGGCCTGTTTGTTCATTTGATTGGCAATAAAAGTTGAAGGTTGTTACCTTCCTCTTGTCCCCAAATCCTCCAAACCTCCTGAAGGATTTGCCCCTCGGAGGATCTGGAAGATTTGCATCAACTTACCAAATGTCTAAACCATGCAGTTGACCGAAATGAGGACATGAAACCCCGAGTGAAAGAATCACCCTTTTCTGTTTGCGTTGTATTGATATGATTCTTTGAAGTAGAACCACTAGTTTTCATTGTCGTCCGCGCCCCAGTTCAGTGCAAATATGTCTTGCCATTGTACAGAAGTGCCAGTGGGTCAATTCTGAATTGTTAGTTTGCAAATGGTGCCTGAAGGACGAGGGGGATTTCTTGCTGTGTTGGTTGAATGTAATACAAGGCTGCCGATATTCAGCTACTTCCTGGATCTTTACTTCCTTGATTCGGACGGTACAAGTCCAAGCAGTAATGGCTGAATGAACGGTTGTTATTGTAAAAGGGTGGGAAGTATTAGTCAAGCCCAGTTGTTAATGCCTTTGTGTCATTTGCTCTGGTTTTGCCATTTGGACTTCCTTTTTAAAAGGAAAAGTGGCCTCTATTTTTTCAGAAGTAAACTTTAAGGCCCATACTGGGTTACCTTTCCCCTGAAGAATATCATAATTGGACAGGATGTATTGCTGAAAAGTTGGCTGTCCTGTTTACTATCTAACCTGCTGTGAAATGCTTTTGAGGTTTCACATGCGGGTTACCAATTAACATCCTTGGAATTGTTAGGTAGCCACTTTGCAGTGGTACATTTTGAAGTAGAAAATTTCTTTAAATAAATTGGGGTGCCACAGAAATTACAGTCTTGGAAAGGAGTGCATAATTTTACAATTGTTGACGTTGTTCCTTTTTTTCATTAAAAGGTCAAACACTTCTGTCCGAATGTACCGGTGATCCTCGTTGGCAACAAGAAGGATCTGAGAAACGATGAGGCGACAAGACGAGAGCTGCAGAAGATGAAGCAAGAGCCGGTCAAATATGAAGAGGGCCGTGCCATGTCGGAGAAGATCTCGGCATTTGGCTACCTGGAGTGCTCAGCCAAGTCCAACGAGGGTGTGAGGGAAGTCTTTGAAACAGCCACGAGGGCGGCCCTCCAAACGAAGAAGAAAAAGAAGGGCAAGTGTAGTGTGTTGTAAAATGGTTATTAAGGATGTCAAGAAATCCCTGCCTGCGGAAGAGGGGTTTCTTTGTCTTAACAGAATATTTACTTTGTTAACCGAGTACAGAGAAAAGCTGCATTCAGCTGATGGCTAACGAAGTAAAACCTAGCTTTGTCTCTAAAGATTAGAGGAGGTCTCACATCTATTCCTGTCGGCCATTGTTTTTAGTTCTGTGCTAAAGTGTAACGACATGTATCAGCTGAGCGCAGGTTTTTTTAATTCTGGGTTTTTTGGGGGGGTTCATTTCTTTTTTACTTTGTATTATGTAGTCATATTAGGGACACTTACAAGCACAGTTTCATGTGTGATTGGTTTATGCCAGGGTGCTAAGAAAAGCATATGACGAGAGCTGTATTTTGGTCAGCTGTAGGAGGTAGTGCTCTTGTCTAGACGCCTTGCCGAGTTCACGCGTGCTTTGTAGCCTGCAGTGTGCCATGGATGCAACACTGCAAAAATACTTACCAAAGGGCCTCGTTATTACCTGTGGCCACTTTTCAGTACTATCCCTGTGTGAACTCCAGGACGTCTGTTCAGCCGGATGGCTTTAAATTCTGTGTGGCTGGTAATGCTTTGATCCTGTAAGTCTATTCCATCGCCCAAGGACCGTGAACAAAATGCTGTCGGAGTAAGCAAGATTTTGGTTTTGAATGGAGAAAAAAAAATCCTTTTGTATAATTTGGTGCACAAACAAATTGCCATAAAATAACGAGACGTTGAGGTAGATACGCTTGGCCTTGTACACAAATTGCATAATTTTTGTACCGTGTGAATACATGTACTCTAAGCCTGGAGATTACTATCAACATGCAGTCTCATGTGACTCGCAGTGTAATGTTGTTACTAGTGGGAAGAAAAGTAGGTAACTTGTAGGATGAAATTGTGGTAGAAATAACACATTTGGCATTGTCTGTACTTGAAAAATTCACGCCAAGTTGATCACCCTAATTGCTGGAACACTTCGGCCAGAAGTCTTACAAGCATTTAAGACAGGTATTCCTTCATTTATGATGACGGTACATATTTTTAAAAAGTGGGAGAAAGTGAACCCAAAATGATGCATCAAAGAGTAAAGTACGCTGTGAGGGAATTTTTTTGTGTTTTTTGGCTGTGGGAGTAATGGACAGGCTTGAACGTTCTCCCCGTTGTTTGGTTTAATGCTCAGTGGTGCACTGCTAAACAGAAATAAGGATTCATGGCAAGGACTCACTCCAGCTTCAATGTGGATTTCATTTGTAAGGCTGTCAGGATTGACAGAGGTTCCTTTTCACTGATGCCCAGTGTGCCACAATTCCTGTCATGGCTGTGTCAGCCATTCCTTAGTGCATTGCATTTTAACATGGTACAGTAGATTTAGATCGTGTACATAGACTAATATTGGAGGCGCCGTGGTTTTTTTTGGGGGGGGGTGTCGGAAGTGGACCCAAGATGCAGGAAGCCCCAGCTGTGCTGAAAAGAATGAGACCACCTACTTGCAAGGTCACTGGCATGCGCTTGATTTTTTGGGGGCTCAATTTTACACCGTTTTGACGAGTGGAATTTCATGAAGTGGTCAGGCACCTTGATGTCGCCCAAAGTTAGCCCGGCTTCTCACTGGGTTAATGGTGCGCTTAACTGAGCATTGCCCCCGAGTGCAAAAAGGGTCACGCTGACACTCTCACCAGCAGCCAGGGGTGGCTTTACCCGTACATGCATGACAACAGGGCCACCGACTTAGTTGGCTTGTTTACCCCCTAACCCTCAAGGTTGTGTGGAAGTCGCATAGAATGTTGTCGGTTAGAGATGAGCTATGGGATACGCCTGTCACATCATGCAAAGTAATGCATGTTTTTTTTGTGTGTAATACTGTGTTATCAGGGCACATAGTTCATGGAACATTTTTCATTGTATATTTGAGGTCAATATGACGGCTTACCACTATGCTAAAAAAAAAAGAAAGGAGAAGACTTGACCAAGGTAACTTTTTCTTCAGAGATTTTCTACATTGCATATCTACGGAGTCTCTTTTGTCTAGGATGTTATGTCAGCCTAAGATATGAATTCTCTTTTTTTATATTTCCTTGTAGAGTCTGAGCTCTTAAAATGAAATTGCCCATCAGAGCCTGGTTAGAGTTTCCCATGTGATTTTTCCTTTGTGTGCAAAGATAAAAAACATTCGAACACCCATGGAGACAAAATTATGCAAAAAAACTTCTCTTTGTAAAAAAAAAAAAACTTGATTTATAAGAATGTTAACAATCAACTTGTATATGCCTATAGATTAAAACTACAATATGCACTCATCGGCACCAACAAAATTGTATAAAACTTGTTTTTGAGTTAACCCTTTTAGATAGTCATGTCTGTTTTAATTTGAAATATTGTAATTCAGCTTTTTTCCTTACAGGCTTCATGTATTGTCTATACTTCAATCGCACTTAATGTCAGAATTATATGAAAACAAAAAAAGAGAAAGAGATTGGAAGTGTTTTGTGTGTTAGTGTAAAGTAAAGCCCTTCTGAATTGGAAAGTAACAAGTGTGTGCCTGGTTTCCATTTTGTTCAACTTCAAGAAAAGGATTTTGCTGTTCACAATTGTTTGTATGTGCAAAGATAGTGAAGTACTAAAGTTGGGAGATGGGCCATTCAACGTGAGAACTGTGCTTGCTGCTACCCCTGAGATTCCTCCCGCCTTTGATAGTAGTAACAGTTGAAGTGTCAAACACCTTCATTGCAAGGTAGTCGGGCCTTTACAAATGACCTTGCTGTAATAGGAGCCTTATATTGGAAAACAAAGCATACAGAGACTCTTAGACCTAGAATTTGTCATTACAAGTAGAATAGTGTATTAACAGTGCTCTTGTTATTGGTATTTGACTAATTTTGTAGTCTGTAAGCTTATAACACGTTGGGCCATGTTCTGCGTCTCACTGATTTGAGTTACTGTCCTGTACAAACTTAACGCAGATTTTGGAGGATAACGCACGCTGTCGTACAATTTCGAAGTGCAGTTACAGTCGGTTGAGTGAGCCAAAGCGCGCAACAAGGAAATTCGGAATACAATCCCATGTTCATTCGTGCGTGTTTCCTCTGTGCAGCATGAACATGTATGTATGTACGTGTATTTGTGATCTGTTTAATCAAAACGTGTACCAACATTTGACATAATGACTGCTTACACTGGCATACCAACTGACGTCTCGGCAGTTCAACTCGATGGCTTGGGCCAATTAATGGTCTGCCCGGTTGAAAATTACGCTAAAACCTATGACTATCCCCCAAACACACCCTAATCTTTACAAGAAGTCCATAACATTTAAGTTTGAACAAGAATGTCGTTATCACCAACCAAACTCATGGTGGAGGCAGAGTTAACGCGAAAGTCTCAAAAATATTCATGGAATCATGAGCCAAAGACGAGGAATGGACTTGTAAAATCACAGACGGATTTATCCCAAGTGGTACCCTCCCAATTTGTTGTTTGGTACCCTCCCAATTTGTTGTTTAGAGCTAGGTCTAGCTCTTTGCCTTTTGGAATTACACTTGCAACAGAAGTAGCCACAGCTTCGGGAACCTGTTTTTGTTGTTGATCAAGTTCGTACCCAGTCAGTGACGCCCTCTCTTTGCTCTCAAAGCCGAACATTTTAGAGTTCGATTGGAATTCCGTTTTGGTGTTGAGTGGAGAACCCTATCGTTGAAACGTCAAAACGAAATCGAAAAGTAGTAATGAATTGCAGTCTGGAACAATACCCAAACAACCAACGACCATTTGAACACTGCGTATAACATGCTCCTTCCCACTCATAATTCTTACCTACAGCAGGCGATCATTGCATCAACTGGACTCAGACTTGTTCCCATTTGGAATAGCCCTTTTCACTTGTCGAATGTGGGTCACAAAATCAATCCGACGGGTTTGACTCCCTTGCATCATTAGGTTTTCATTTTACACGTACGTGGAAATCGTGCCAAAGATGGGAAGAAAAGCTGGCAATCTGGTGTTTACTAAACTGAATAAAATACCCGTCGAGCTATGAGGTTACCACGACGCCCATAAATGAGTCATGACGTAGACGTGTGGCTTGAATACGTGTAGGAAAACGTATTTGCAGTGGCACCATGGCTTTCCATCTCTTTTGCGGAAGACTTCAACATTTCATTTTTTTTTCATACGGACGAAAATTTCCATCGGCCTATTAATGAGTTAAAGCGCGATGTCATTCAAGACCCGAGAACAGCTGGTTCTCTATAGCTCTGTGTACAAATATATACCACAGTTTTCGACATTTTATTGGAGTAAGTTCCACTTTTACTCGTTTACCGTGTTAAGAGTAGTTTGTTTTGACGATGGTAATAAACCATAATTTCTTCAAGACTGTCGGGCTGTAATTGTGAAGGACAACTTTTGTACTTGTTCTTAGGCTCTTTTGACAAGTAACGCCTTGTGTGACAAAGGGAAAATAGCGCCCTCCAAAATGTTTTGATAAAAGGATTTTTTTTCAGAATAGAAATATTACCACCTTTTTGTCACTTTTAATGAAAGAGTATTTAAATCTAGTTTGTGTTTTTACATACACGTAACGATGTGTAGGCCTGTGTGAAAACAAGTTGAGTTGAATGCCCACGACGTTTCCTCTAATATGAAGCACCCTTCCATCAATTTGGAAAGGTTTTCTTCCTCGCAGGAAGTCGCCACAGCGGTGAAAACAACTTCACGATTTTTCCTGCGAACTTAAAGTTTCTGATGATCGTCCAAAATGTACAAGATTCCTTTTCCCATCGAGTATGAGAATTTTTGAAGTTTTCATATTTGAAATAATCGAAGTCAGTCTCCCAAATTCAAGGATGTTTTAAACATCGGCTTCCAAAATGTATGTCACTGTGCTTCCTTTTTTTTTTTGGACCAGGGCCATCAACCTTAGGCCTCAAACTCTATCAGTAATAATCTCTTCTGCTGTTTTGGCTCTCTCCCTACCTCTCTCATGGAACATTATCTCATCTGAGAGGCAAGCACTTCCTCCTCGGCCAAAACACAGACAGATATGCCCACGTACTTCGCAGTCTCGCCTTTATCAGTTAGTCAGGACTCCTCGGTGAGGTGAAACACGCAGTTTCTAGTTGCTCATAGTCATGCTGCCGTTGATTGCAGGAGTTACAGGGCCAGATATTAAAGTTTAATTCCACAACCAGAATAAGAAGCCATTACTGCCGTGGGATAATGCTTGTAGACAAATGGTACGCGGGCGTTACAAGCCCCTTGGACCAAAGGGGTGTCCGTGATTGACAAAATAATGCACGCGCGCGTCAAGGTGAAGAATGTACATGTACGTGTGAGTGCGTTGCCGCCGCAGTTATGGCGTCTAATGGCATTACTGCGCCGAAATTCCAATTCCAGATTTTCTATCGTAGTTAATGCTTTTTCTTAAAAAATGCCTTAATGAAGGCAATGGAAAATTTGGATTTAGAGTTCCCTTCCCGAGTTTGGCTACCGACCAGGGATAACAAGCCTCATGCTCGAAGCAACCGGCTTTAAAGCACCGCAGGAGCGTGCCTTTTCCCATCTCCAGAAACAGTTCTAGTGGGCGATAGGAAAAGATGCACTTCCGAGCAGGTCGGAGTAGGGCCTTATTGGATACAAGCTATTTCAAAACCCATGCCCTGACAGCATTTTATTGGTGGATATTGGAAATTAACGCAAAAAAATTAACTTACTTTGAGAATTCGAGCCATACCCTGCCCCTATCCTAAATATCAGTAGCGTAAATTTGTGCCTGAAATTGGGGATGACTTGCCCAGCCGTGGAAATTTAAAAAGCTGGGGGGGGGAACCATACGACACTGCACGCGGCAACGTCCATGACACAAATTTACATCTGTAAATGCGTATTACACTCCTGCAGAATTTTTACATAACGGCATTTTATGGCTTTTTGCTCTCCCTTTTTCAGAGATACTGGAATACATTTTGGTTGTTTGGAGGTTCAAAAATTATTCACAATCCGATTTAGTTTCTTTCTCACCACGAAAAAGTGTGTGCGGGGGGACCCCATCCCCGGATTTACGACCATGCTTGATATATAATTAACCAGTCCAAAGAAAAAAAAATATGGTCACTAACTTTGTAATTGAGTTTTCTGTGAAAAAAAATGAGGTGGAAAGATTAACCAAATTGAACATTAGATAGGCTTTCCAACAGATTGTTGAATTTGTAAGTGCACTGATAGATTTAACCCCCCCCGCACTGAATCAAAGTGCACAACAACACCCTCATTGAGGGTACAAGCCAAACATTTTTGGACTGTGATGTGGGCATCAGTGTTGGGGGATTGCAGCAGGTGTGCGGGTAAGGAAAATGTCTTAGAAATTTATCGTCGAGTCACACTTCAAAGTAATTCAGAATGCCTCCTAACGGTGGGATGTCAAAAACAAAACAAAAGCAAACAAAAACAAAAAAAAACAAAAAACTTTGCACGGTTGGTGCAATCCATGAGAAGAACAGGACTTACCTCCACGCAAATCATTCCGACCTGCAGTGGGAGCTGGACAAGAGCTGCAGCTGGACCAAAGAACATGGCCGCTGTACATGGAGTACAGTTTACATCATCAAGCCCTCCCTCCCCCCCCAAAAAAAAAGGAAAGAAAGAAGGAAAAAACACTGAAAGAAAGGTGGTAGAGTACTGTTTCTAAAATGCTGGCTGCTTCACCCCCTCCCAAACAAAAGAAATCTGGGGATAGTGGAGTTTGCTCCCACCTTCCCGCTGGGCGGATGCCACTGGACCCGACCCCACTGAAACGTTCAAAAAACCGGCCTGACGGACCCGACTCGAATTGGTTTCGGTTCGGGTCTGTTTAATTTCATCAGGTTGATTTTTGCATAACATGACTTCAAGTTGAATGCGGAAGATTGATTATAGCAATCAACAATTCCCTATCCAATTTTATCACGGTATATGTACAGATCCGAAATGAGAAGTTAGCTTTACGGTTTTACTGAGCCTGCAAATCAATTTTCGAAAGCTGGCAATCTTTGATTAAACTCGACAATCCCCGTGGATCCATTCCCCGCGGCTAACAGAACAATTATGACGGGAACAGTGCAGAAGCTTTGTTTAATGCAATGTTCCCTACGGTTTGATAAATATGTGCAAGGAGTACCAGTATATATGAAAAATGTCTGAAAATTTCCAACATTTACAAAGACCCATTCACGAGCAGCCGCGTCAGTCGTACGTGTTATTTATGTTTTGCAGGTTAGTTGTCAGCTCAGCAAGTTAAGAAACAAACAGATATCTGTGGATCAACTGCACTTATGCCAGTTTAAAAATACAATTCCTCAAAGTAAACAATAACTTTCAAAATTGGCATGATGCAAATACAATGTACAGTACATGTAGTACGAAGTCATCTCGACGAGCGCGATGAAAAGCGATGACGTATCACCCGTGAAAGGGGTGAAGTTCCAGTCTATTTTTAGCGCGGATCACCCAATGTATAAAATGAGGCGCGTTGCAGTGCCATGGTCAGATAACAATAGAAACAGTAAACGAATCGGTTCGACCAGCGTGCTAACAGCGTAGGCAAGGATCGTGGTTCCAGCGTAATAAGACGACGGTTTGGTTGATGCTGTGAGGTACAGTTGTAGTGTTCGTGTTTCTGTCATTAAGGAGTAAAATATGCAGTGATTTACCGGTATTTTACAGTGTTGGCATGAAGTGTTTGTGTGCATGGTGTCAAAATCAATCAATTATCTTAGAAAACAGGTGGAACGAATGTACCATACATATAGTGTAGTATGATATATGTACCATTGTGGCCGAACTGGTCGTTATGTCGTAACTCCTAAATTCCGTTGAAAAATGTTTATGTTTGCATTTATAGTGATAGCTGCTTGGTTAGATTGAATTGAATAAACTGTAGTTTAGTGGAAATAATAGTTTGGTGATAATTCACTCATTGTGTGAAATTTTGAGTCATTAATTTCACTGTAGAATACATGTAAGTAAATTGCATGTATTAAATGTTGAATTTCAATTGATTTTCAGTGCTACATTTTTAATGAACACAACTTTTGGACAGTTTATTTTTCATGAATGATTTGTCTGATCTAAAATTTTAAACAAAGAAAGAAATTTGCTGAAACTGACTTCAGCGTTTTCATTTCCATTTCACGTACCCCGTGCAACAGATCAAAAGTGACTTTACTCTATGAACAAAATGGCGACCATCAGGAAGAAGTTGGTGATTGTAGGGGATGGTGCTTGCGGAAAGACTTGCCTTCTCATCGTCTTTAGCAAGGACCATTTTCCCGAGGTCTACGTGCCCACTGTGTTTGAGAACTACGTTGCAGACATCGAAGTGGACGGCAAATGTGTAAGTTCATTTAATCTGAAATGCTATCCTTCTCCTTCCACTCAGTGTGTTGAGCTAAGATGAAAAATTTCTATACACGGGGGGGGGGAATATGAAACTTAAAAAAACTGTAAGTTCACAGTTTCAATTTCAAAGCTTTAAATTGTTTAGAGACAAAGTTGGTATTGTGAACTAACATTTGTTACTACTGAAGAAAGTTCTACACTACAGTGTACACCTTAACTTGTCAAAGTTACCTTTGTTCATGCCTGCTCAATAAAAATGTTTATGTACACTTTTCAGTTGTCAATCGCCGGCCAAAAGTGGATCGTTTAAGAGCACATATAATACTTATCTCACATTAAAAATCCCACCATTGAGGAATGATTTCCTATAGAATTCGAGAGTAAAGAAGTTATTCCAATTTACTGTTGATGATCACAGTGACAAACTTAAGTCAGAAAAGATAATCCCTCCAGCTACAAGTGTGGTATACATGTAATTCAAGACAAATGACCAAATAAGGTCATGTACCTTGGCACACAGTCACCCGAGTCACCTGACAGAATGGTGAAGCATATTAGCTCAACAGAAATGTTTCAAACCAACAGAAATTTCACCTATCCATCGGTTAGGTTATTCCTCCTGAAGGGGAGGGGGAATATGAAGGAATTTAGGCCAGAAATTGGAACAGAATGCAGCCTACCAAAGTCAATTCTCTCAGAGGAGTATACGTACATGTAGTTGATGAGCCATTGAAATAAGGGACTACAGGAATTTAGCAGGAATTTAGCAGAAGGAATATTTGCCTTTTTTCCCTGCAGTATAAGTTTGTGTTTTCTGAGAAAAGTTCATCTTTTTCAATAATATCAAACCTATTTGTAGTGAGTGACCGTCAAAGTTGTGCTTTGAGAAAAACGGAGCAGGGCAAGAAGATAATGACAAGTCCCTGTAAGGAAAGAGTCAAATAACAAACCCCCTTTCAAACTGTGACCACTGCTGTCATGCCGCTGGTCAATTGTCAAGGCTTCATGGTCCAGTACAGTTGAGTGGAGGGAGGGAACCCTTTCAGTCTGATCAGTTGATGAGTCACTGGTAATCATTGCTTTTGGTTGTGTCGCCCACCTTTGTGCTGCCCATCATGGGGCTGATATGTGTTGATCCGCTGAATGGACACGTCACTGGTCACAAACAGTGCCTTGCTGACCACATTCCATGCACCCTACTGTTAGAATGGATCCCGCCTTGCCCCAAAAAACCTTGAATAGGAGTCTAGAAGGCCATGCCGGCAAGAAATTGCCATAGCATACTGGTGCAGAACTTTATCTTGTGAGATCCATCTAGAAAACTCCAGGATAACATTCTTTATGAATTTCTGGTTACCAATAAATCTGTCAAAACATTGATCTAAAACTCCACAATTTTGGGAGATCTTTTCTCAACCGTTTTGTTACTGGTTTTTGCTTGGTTAAATTTAAGAGTTAGACTCCAGACTAAACTTTTTTTTAATGCGCACCTACATTGTAACCAAAAAATCAGGATTTGAAGGATAAAAGGCAAGGATGATAGACAGCATTTTGCATTCAGGACTACAAACAAAATTGGACATTTCTTGCTGTAGCCTTGTTCCATAAGGAAACAATAAGACTCGCATAAATAGCGTGTCATTGGGTCAGACTGTTGTCCTGTTGTGAAAACGATTCATCTCTGTGGCAAGTGGCAAGTTTTCAAATTATGCACAGATAACTTTTAGTGGGCAAAGTGTGCAACCAAGTTGGTCACTGACCCACCTCAAATTCACTCCCAAACATGCTGGCACTTTCATTTACTCGCAGGGCAGATTCAGTGGTCCAGTGACTACAGCGGGATAAATTTTTCTGACCTGCAACAAATTCACAATCTCTTTGCTCTTTGACGTTTCCATAGGTTGAGCTAGCATTATGGGATACGGCGGGCCAGGAAGACTACGACCGACTCCGACCCCTGTCATATCCAGACACAGATGTCATTCTAATGTGTTTCTCCATCGATAACCCCGACAGTTTGGAGAACATCTCCGAGAAGTGGACACCAGAGGTAAGAAGGGTTAAATCCTGTCTTGTTGACAAATGAAAATTAAGAGGAAAGACGAATGAAGATGGAGTTAAAAAGGCTTCATGAAAATACTGAACGGGAAATGAAAAGCATTCAATCACAGAGGAGGGCATGTGGTCCCAATGAATCAGGCTGATGGTAAGAGGAAAAGTTACTCTCCACAAGTAAAGGAGAACCAGTAGGGGGCACAGTTGACCCTCCCTTTTCTTTTTTCAGGCCTTTCTTGTCTTTTGTCCTGCTTCTCCAGCTATTACCTGGTTATTTCATTGCTTTTAAGGCAGACATTTTCATTGAGATGAGGAAACACATGACCCGCTCACATGTTTTGGTTTTATCTTCGTTTTGGGTGCCTCCCTTTTTTTTGTAAATGCAACATATAGATCAGAAAAAAAAAATGCAAATGCCAAAGTTTGGATAAACTTTTGTTGTAGAGTTGCGGATATCTTTGTGTTTAATTTAAATTCTGGTGAAGAAAGAGATTCCATGGCTACATTTTAATATGAATTATTCATATACATGTGTGAGTACCAGACTCTGTGTAGTCAGTGACTGCAGTACAGACTGCAAGTTCAGAAAGGCAAGGAAATTTAGCAGCAGAGTAAGTAAGGCTGGCAGTGGTAATCCTCAATTGGGTGTAACGGATATTTGTGAGCTTACAGGGTGGCAGTGAATTGATTCAATCAGCCCGCAACTGATAACTGGTCAGGGTCATTGGCCCATTTCAGGCTGCGGAGCACGCCCAGCCAAATCATCAGACTTGAGTTACACCCACAGCCTGGGCTTATCAGGGTGTGACCTCCTGGGGCTTGGCTGGAACATGGCTGGAATGATCACAAGACAATCACGGAGTGGTTCTTTCTGCCTTAGATCTTGAGCCTACATTTGGGTTCCACATTGTTACCCACGGGGGGGGGCACAGATAACACCCAAAGGGCAATGCTGATATGGAAGTGTTTTTTGATCAGGAGACGACACCAACTGAAAACAAGCTACATTTTTCATAGACAGAACTTGGTGACAGTGCAAAAAAGGTCCCTAATTCAGACTCGCACTTGCCAAAGCCCATAATGAGTACATAAAGGAATCCTCAAATTCCCCCTCCCCCCAAATTGGACCCCCCTCCCACGTGTATTTACCTGGTTTGTACCTCTTAAATGATTGGTTAAGATCAATCCTGGAGGTTCAACTTTGCTGATTTAGTTTACTGTGCGTACTGCGCGTGTGCTTACTGTGCTCATTGGGAAGAAAGTCAAATGGAATCACACTTCAGTCGCAGAATTGACCCAATAACACACTAGGCCTAATTAATCAGATTGACTTACCTGACGGACATCTGCTGTTTGATGTTCCTGTCAAATGATTGGTGTAGTTATGATTTGCTGTGAAAATAGGCCCCAAAACAGATAAAATGCACACACACTTGATATCTAATATTTATCTCTAGAAGTGATCTGATAAAAAAGACAACAGGCTTTTTCAAAAATTGAATGTTAAATTTGTAAAAAAAAAAAGGAAAGCATCTTGTAGTGTTTACTGCTAAGGATCGTTGCGGAAGTAAGTGTCTGATTTTGAAAAATCCAACAAGGGAAAAAAAAGCAAGTCTTAAATGAGACAAAAGTCCCATCTGAGTGAGTCACGGTCTGTGACCGTCTAACAGCCTTATTCTGTGCTGGGCGTGGTCCTGGTTTTGTATTACACTGCCCCCTGAAGACAACACCAGCAAATTAGGGCTTGTTTAGAGACAACGTGACTCTTTCAGTGGTCCCTGTCACCCATTTTAGTTTTTAGGCTCTGATGATGCAAAATGAAATAATGTACTGTGTGATAGCTGAAAGTTGTTTAAATTGTCAAGTTTTATCTGCCTGTTTCTTCAGGTGTATGAACTTGAAAGATATTTTATTGTTCCACAGTTGAGGATCTGCTCAGCTTCAGTGAGAAGATTCACTGCTCGCACTAGTATGTCTGATGCTGATCTTTGTTCATTTTTCATAGTTTTCTTAATTAATTGTTTTGTTTCCAATTAATTAAAGCACTTCACCATATATCTAGAGTGGCTTGCTGTGGTGACAGGATAAAAAGGCTAAAAATAAACAAAGATGAGAGAAAAGTATATAAACCAAACAAGGGAAATGAGACAGATTTTTTTTTCAATATTCAGATAAGATCCGAAGCTGAACAATTAATGAATATAGTGTAAAGTGCTGGTGTAATTGCTCTGACAGCTTGTCCAACCCTGTGGAGAGTGACCTCTCTCAGACAGGCCTTCGTCTCCCAGAAGACTTGAAATTTGTAGACTGCTGGATGTGTGGTCTAAATAGGTGTCCTCTGGGATGGGCGTGTACGCCACCCCCTAGAGCTGGGTGAGGTCCCTGTGATTAGGTCTAACCGGTTAAGCCCCTGGCCTTGTGTGGTGTGGCTGTACCACGTTAGTGACTGATCATATCATGAGTACAATTTGTCGCCTGGAGGAAAAGAAAAGGTCTCTCATTGCTGGGTAACTGTTCGGTCCATGAGCTTATCAAGTCGCATAGTTTGAAAGAAGGATGATTCCCTTCAGAAAATCCCTCGACTTTGGAGAGTTTCCAAGGAGACTCAGAGAATCCCAGACTTTCCTTTCTGTTCACAGTTGATCGGTATACATGCAAAGGCATTGTACAGAAATTTACCTTGAGGAATTTTCACAGAGGTAAAAATAAATCAAAACATAAATCTTCCCCGTCATGTCGAGGGACAAAAAGGGCTGACCCTTGAGAAAATCTATTGAAAAGTTTGGTGTGAGAAAGAGAGGAAGAATTATGGAATGGCTGAGTTGTAGGAAGTTTGACTCTCTTCTGATGACGTGCTGGCAGTGGTACATATGATACGTTCCATGGTTGTTGGACAATGTGCAAACCACAAACCGCCCAGCAGTCACTTTTGTGGTGTCAACAGCACTGTTTATGACTTCATCAGTTCATGCACTTTCAGATGGGGATAAGATATTGCGTGGGCGGTGGGAAAGTGTCTGTTCTCCACTTGCCCTGTCATTCTTGAGTTATGCATGTGTGAACGGTGAAGTATTTGTTGAAAATGGACAACATAATATTTGATTACTGAGTAAGATTAGACGTTTGCAAAGCCAAGCATGGCAAAGTTGGTTTCTACTGGCCGGCTTCTATTGTATGTGGAAAAAAAATCAACAAATAAACACACTGTTAGTTCCCACTCAGCCATTTGGATTGAAGTGCATATGTATAGTTTCTTCTAACTGGTCTTCTGTCAATCTCCGTGGTCCATTTGTTCTCTTTGCTGTTTCCAAAGTCAGCCAAACAGATACTTTGTTGTCTCATAAATGCTTTTGATGGTTCAAGCAACCAGTTTTTTTTTTTTACGTGTGATGTATTTCAGAAATTTGGACCTACATTTGGAGCTTAATAAGAACCAAATTTGGTGATTAGAATGTGGAGCCTATTCAAACATGTCCCCATTTGTGATATTCACAAACAGAAGCCCCGCCCTGTGTTTATCAAGGGCCTGTGTAAAACGAATGACCAAATTCTTATCAACCAGTCGGTTGGAAACTTTGAGGAATGTTGCTTAACAAAAGGCCGAGGAATGTGTGGAATTCCCAGGAATATGCGCTCCAGGTGACATCATTGTCCTCCTTTCTTTCCCAGCTCCTGAAATGTAACAATGGCAAATCAGTGGGGGCTGGTCATTCTCTGTTTTCACTACCAGCACAATGCTGATCCTCCCTATTGTGTTGTTGGCATGGAATGGAGGGAATGACTTTGCATGTGCAGTTACCATGGCAGAAATGTTGGAATTTGTGGTCAATAACAGGAACCCTTAAACAAATATTTGAGTGACTGTCATTGAGATGTGACTAATGGAAAGTGGCAACAAATATGTTTTGACCTCTGCAGTAATTAACAGATCAATCACATTTTAAAAATAGCATTTAAAATTTTTTAGGGGCAAAATCACGAAGGTAAAAATAGAATTGAATAACTATTTTGACAATCGGGGACCGTGTTGATTTTGTGTTTGCTATTGAAATTTGTAAAACATCCTACAGCTTTTATTGAAATGGTCGTGCTGCGTCAACTCACAATCCCACATAAACGGTCGCCTGTACAGCACTTAAAGCCATTGATTGGGGCACAGGCCGTATTTTACTTTTGCCTACTCGAGACAAAAATGTTGCCTTTGATGGGCCAAGCGTATTGCACCCTAGAAACATGATGGGCGTTTAAGGGAGGCACCCCCCTTTTTTTGGAAAAAGATGGCAGATTTTTTTCAAGATGACACATGGGTTTCCTTGGCTTTTATACTCTTAGGGAAAAGTGAGATTGTTTAAAAATTACTGAAATCAGGAAGATCCTGGTGAAACAAATCCTGAAATCTGAAAAATCTTGACAAATCTCACCCCTGTACAAAGCAACTTGCAATTTTGAATTTTTGCTTCATATTTTGTCATAAACAAGTACATTGGTAAAAATGAAAGGACTCGTCTAAAAAAGAAAAGTGAGGGAAAAGGGGAGGGAGCAGGAAAGAAAAGGCAGTTGCGCATAAGTCATTCTTTTTTTTACTCAGCCTTAACTTATTTGATCGTTATTCCCATTTTTTCTCTCCCACTTGATCATGGCTTAGGTCCGGCACTTCTGCCCCAACGTGCCAGTCATCCTGGTGGGCAACAAAAAGGACCTGCGGCACGACGAGACCACACGGCTGGAGCTGGCCCGTAGCAAGCAGGAGCCGGTTAAGACAGAGGAGGGCCGGCAGATGAAGGACAAGATTGGCGCCTGCGCTTACCTGGAGTGCTCGGCCAAGACCATGGAGGGGGTGCGGGAGGTTTTCGACACGGCCACTAGGGCCGCGCTTATGACTAGGAAGCCCAAGCGGCGGAGGTGCAGGATCTTCTAAATTAGAAAAATTAACAGATGGATGTTTTGAACCACCTAACTTGTCTCCCTTCCATTGGGTCTGAGCATGAACAGTAGAGGGTGCTATGTTTATTTCAAAGGGCTTTCCTTTTGGCCAACATTGTTGCAATGAATCATGTGTGCTGTATCATGAGTTTCAGTCATCAAAACTTGGAACATGACCTAGTTCCTCAATCATGCAAAATCCTCCAAAGCTTCCAGCTACTTTTTTTTTCTCTACACTAAATGACAGATTTTGTTTTGAAAACTGCGATGTTCTCTTCACCTCCAGAGAAATAAAACTGATATTAGGCATTTGGGTTTTCAATATTTCCCTTACAAAATTCACAAAACGGGCAGAAATTAATTTATGTTATTCACTGTCATAATAAGAATTGAATAAGGATACTTTTTGAATATGCCATTTGTATGATGCAAACATTTGCAGTATTTCAAAGTATTTTATATTCATTAACGTTTAAAGTTTCTCTTTCAACCATTAACACGTTATATTCTATGCAAGATGACACTTCAGTGATTGTCAGCGAAATTGTAAATATATTTTTGGACATGTGTTATAATTGTTGTATATAACCAAGACTTTATTTTAATACAAAACTCCTGACATGGCAGAAAAGGTATTCTTGAAGCATGCTGTAAATATATGTGAAGTATTGTCCAAGATGTCTCTTGAAGGTGGTCCAAACTGAAATAATAATTTTTTTTTTATAGGTTGACATTTGCAGAGTATTGAAATATGAAATTTTCCAAATATGTCAGTTAAAAAAGGCAAAAATTAACTTGAAGAAAGAATACTAATCAATGCCCTTTACAACTTTCAATATTTTTGTGTGCAAATATTTTGGTGCAATTTGATTATATGCATTTTTCTGTTCTGGGTAGACATTTTTACCTGTGAATTTGTGAATGTTTTGCATGGATAAAGAAATAAAGACAAAGGACAGGTGAACATTTTTGTATGAGTAAATAATTTATTCATAAATGTAGTGTTCATATACATTTCTGTTCTGTACACTATTTCTGACATCCCAAAGCACATTACCCCAAAATCTGGGTATTGATCAACCTGCTACATCCCAAGAACAAGCTCACCAGTTTTTTCCTTTTAAATATTCTGATTAATGTGTAAATAAATAATTCTCCGAACTACAAGTGTATAGAAATTTAACAAAGAAAGAATTCTATTTGCTTAGAGTACAGTCCTTCAGAGAATAAGACTTCCTCAAAAACTGGCAAAACTGTACAAAAAAATTTACAAATCACGTAAACTGATTTACAAAAGGTGAGAAAAAGAAACTGATCACAACTGATCTGAGATTCAGATTTGGTGCACAAATTTACAATATACATGTACATGAGTAACTACACACCTTCCATTTTACAGGATGAACAAATTACAGATGAAGCAGGATTTTCACATTAATGATCTATTTTGTTAGGCGAAGGAGGGAAGGCGCAACTTTTTAATGCCAAAATAAAGATCAACCCCAACCCCCTAGGGTGTATGTAAAAATCATGTTAAAATCGGAGGATTTAGGACTGTTGGGACTATTAATCAGTAATGCTTCTGCCATTTACACCCCTATATCTTTCCTAAATGGGGACGGGGGCTCAGCAGATGTTTTTTTAACAGATTAAAGTGGAATTGGTGATTAATTTTGAAACCTTTTCAACATCACAACCTAGAGGATGAATACCCACAACTTGCTTTGGAGGGCAAGACCCATTCAGTTTTTACCGTTACAGCTATGTCTCTCTTGCCATTTCTTCAGATTATACAAAATGACTTTAAAGATTCCATGAGGGTGGCTGTACAATGTTTGGAAGATTGGCTAGTACAGTAGGTATGTCACAGTTGGGATAAAAGACCTTGGAACAAACTTCAGGGCTGCAGAAAATCTGGTAAAAAAACCCAAAACCCTGAACATTGTATAATCTTTTTTTTGGGGGGGCAAAGATTTTGATCCAATAAAGTCTTGCCCTACCATTTTCACCGTGGAATTTGAAATTTGGACCACAAAAGGAAGCGGCTTTTTTTTTCCTGAATGTTTTTCTCGTGAGGAAATTGAATTTCAGCACACCCAAATGACTGCTGTGGATTGCCACACGACAACAGAAGGAAATGGACAACACATTGTGGACATATTACTACTTCCTTGTGGGACTGTCCCGTTATTTCCTAATGTAATTTCCTGCTTCAAGCAGAACAGGGACGTTTGCCAAAAGGGGCCTGGTAAAGTCCTCCAGCACACCCCCCCTCCCGATCGCACCTGCTGCGTGTTTCAGATTGACTCATGGACAAAAAAAACACCATCCAACAAAAGAACCAAGTCCTTCAACCTCCTCCCTTCCGGAAAAAAATATAACATAGGTAGTTGTGTTCAGAGTCCTTTTGTGTAACAATTTCCAGATGCTAAAGAGCCTCCCAAAACCCTGAATGCCATGCATTTAAAATCCATGATGGCGAATCACATGATTTGGTTAACAGACATTTTAATTTTAACTGTTGGTACTTGAGGAGAAACGCGGAAACCAAAAACAGAACCTCAAGGCATGAGATATTTGAGCAGTGACCAACTGAAAAGTAATATGATGATTATGGTATTTTTTCTTCGAGCCACTTTCAAGCAATGGATTTTTAGTAAGGCAGAGTAGCCACTGTGTGTTTGAGTTGGGCCCAACAATAACAGAACCCTAGGCCTTACTCACTGTTCACCAGGGGCCAGGAGGAATCACTACAACTTATGAGCCATTTCAACTGGTGACCTTTTTTGCCAAGTAGGATTCTACCGTGCTGAGTGGTTCTGACAATCACCGACAGTTCTGACAGCTGACACTGCTCTGTGTTAAACAGACAGCCATGTTATAGACGGTGTGGGTGTTTCCTTGTTTTGTAGACAATTCCACGAAAAGGTGGATATGGCTACAGGGTGGAACATTTACAAAATCTTCCAAACTGCATGTATAACTACCATTTTGGAAACAAAGGGGACAAGTAGCCATTTTCATTTGAGTGATGCGGTGGTTAGATGTTGAACTGTGTTATTGGTCAGAAAATTGGTCCAGAGGTGAAAATCAAGAAGTTCAGCAGTAATTTTGATGCCATCTTTTTGCTCACAATACAAGTGTTAGTGCGAGTTTCTGTTTTTAAAGCAGACAGCAAGGTTCGCATTTTACGGACAAAGGAGCTGACTTTCATCAAGTTCACGGACGTTCATGTGAGTCAGATTTCATGCTGTGCTGGAAAGCATTTATTTCTCGTCCCTTTCCTTTCAAAACGAGTATCAAAAGTCAAAAATCACAAACTTGACATTTTCCCTCCGGCTTTCAGGCATGTGGGAGTGCTAGAGCTGGGAACCGTTTGGCGTAACAATCAAGGTCACACAAATCAAGGCTGTTGCTAGGCTGCACCATTTGACTATATACACTGTAGACGGTTAGTCATGCCACTGTCACGTTACACCGCACATTGCACAACAAAGGGCCACCCAGTGACTGGGGTTCTTTTTAAAGCTCCAAATATCAAACAAGAAAGAATAAGAATAATGCCATTACCATCTGGGTAGGGACAAAACCTGTGGCAATCAAAACTCAAATTTTTTTTTTCAAAGGTAGAAGTGTTGTCTATTTACATCTGATAACAAAGGAAATTCAGAGTTACGCAATAATAATAAAACGCATTCCACTGACTTCAAATATAAAACGTCCAATTTCCTCAACTCCGCAAAAGCTGAAGACTCAACTGCAATGGGATGCTTTCTTTTACCAGTTATCCATTTTCTGGACATTTGTTTCTGTGATCTTTACATAATAGCACAGGCACCTGGAAAGACCATGTGCCCTGGAGCCCAAGACTTCGGCTTTAAGAAAAAGCTTTCAAATTTCACATGCAAGAGGATACGGGCGCGCCTATTGATGTTCTTGAATGACCTACGGCACGTTTCACTTTGTGCATGTGCTGTTGGAATACTGAACATGCTCAATGAGTGCCACTACCATCATGTTGCTGCGCTCAGCAGTGTTCCTGTCTAATGCCGTCATGACAGGGAACTGCGATACATGGGGCAGGTTTTTACTGTAAGGAAAAATTCCGACTCTCTTGTGAGGGCTTCGCGCATCCCCACAATATTGTTGGTCCTCACAATAACTATTGCGTGACACGTGACAGAAGAAACGTACAGGTGTTTGTGCTCGGGCCATTCCTGCATTGAGGGGGGGGGCAATCTCTCGTTAGGAAAATCAGGATCGGGGTTTGGGGTCTCCAAACCGTCTCTGTTTCAACGCGTGGTATTCCAACAACTACTACGGCAGTATGTACACACTCTCGGATGAGAACTTTGTGCATTCAGCTCTGACCGCATGCAAACCAGTGCACGCTTACACTGTGTCCCTCACACAACATGTTCTTGTGAGCTTGCTGCGCGCAGTCAGTAAGTTTTTCCTGGCCACTTGAGTCTCTGGAGGCTTCATACACAAGTTTTTGAGGGCGTTAGGAAAATTAATGGAGTGTAACACTCCCTCGATTGATCCCTCCTAGGGGCGGGGTTATCCAGGAGGAGGGGTGAGGAACACTTATTTGGTTCCCCTTAACTTGCTTTTGGGGACCGGTTTTTTTTACAGAGTTGCAAAATAAAGGGGAAATTCCTCTTCCGAATTACCGCTAACATATACCGTTGACATTAATTTTTACCCATAAATCAACCCTGACAGTGCGTTCCGAATCCTTCCATTTAAGATGATTCCTCAAAGTCGATTGAGGTTGTTCACATGGACAATCAGGAGGAAATCTCGGTACAATCTGGCTCAATAACATCAGGCTTGTTAATCTAATTCAAGCCAAATCTCTTAAAAATAGATAAATATTTACAAATATCTATTCCACTTTCTGATTTGTTGGTTTGTTCTTTTGTTTTGGAGAGAACTAAACATTCTCACGTGCCGTTGACAAGCCTGTTGCTAGGGGCAACCAGGAGGTCTTGGTACTGGCTGAGGGCTTCCTTGAGTGCATTGCACACCTGTGATGAGGTACAAGTGGTACAGTCCACCAGATAGGGGTAGAGGTCAATCACCTGGGCCCATGTGGATTGGTCCACTGCCAGAAAAGAGAGGAGAGAGCAGAAATAATGTACATGTTTACTGTCAGGCAAGCTTGAATCTGTGATCCTGATTGGTCCATTCATGGCAACAGACCTTAAAATCTGTGAGTACAGCACTCATCCTGTCCGGAGACACAGTCCCAGTCTCTTGGCTGCGGCTCGAAATAACGCACGAGTTAATGTAAATGGCTGCAGCCACTTCCCATAGCGTCATGTACATCATTTCAAGCCGCAGCCGAGTAATTTGGACAAGGCCTATGAGAAAGCTCCAATTGGAGCCTTACCGTTGCTGCTGTTTGCTTTCTTGAGGGAATGTATCAGGGTGGTGATGGCTTGCAAGACAAAGGACATCTCCGCCATCCTGGATCTGGAAAGAAGACAAATCATAGAATAATCAAAATAGAATTTTTTGTTCATTTATCTATGCTTGAAGAGTTTGTACATGAACGGTATACGGCTGCATATGGCCAACTCAAGGATCGCAACACTGCATGGGTAGAGGAATTTTTCCCATCACTTAATAAGGCTCATTTTCAGCAGAATGTGCACAAAACCATTGCCTCATTGCAAACAATGCAGTGCTCCGTACGTCAATGACAGAAATGGTGTGACCAGGAAGGTGCGCGTGACCACCGCACCGCCGACAGACCATGCAGTGAGGTGACGAGGTGACGCCTGGCGCTACCTACCTTGGAAGCGGGCACTTGCCACTGAGCCGCTCGTCTTCCACGTACTTCTGCAGCACCTCCTGGCAGCGCTGCAGCAGGGCCGACAGCGCCATTTTGGTCAGCCCCCCCTCGTCCGCCGTCATCTTGCCTAGGTCATTGGCGAAGAAGGAGAACTGTAGCAGGGTCTCGAAGCAGGCCTTGGCAAACTCCTCCCGCAGCTGTCGGTTGTCCACGTCTGGGGGGGGAGGGTGGGGAGGAGAGGGGGGGAGGGGTTGGGTTATCAAATGGGTGTGGTTAATGACATGGTCTCATGTGACATGTTAGAGCTTGAGTCATGTCTGGGGTAGTAACTGTCTACATGTAACCCTACCCATGCCTAATCCATCAAGAGACTATGTAATTTACACCAGACCCTGTGGTTATAGGGCTACGATTGAGCTTGAGTCATGAACAGTGGCTACAATTCAGCCAGAGGCTTGACTCAAAGGCCATGGTTCTGGCTGTTTTAAATAGGAGACGTTCTATTTCTTTATGGTTAAAGTTTAAAAACTTTTTTTTTTTCAAATCCCCAAAATTTCCCCCCCCCTAAAAGTACTTTTGAATCATTGCTTTTATTCATTCAATCAGAAACTTGAATAATGTGCACAGTGATCTAATAACTAGAACGGTAAATCTGCCATGGCTTGCTGGCTTGCTGGCTTGTTATGAATTTGAATTTCTTTCTTGTAATAACAGCTTATGTTAAGAGGCATCCAAGTTATACAAATATGGTTACTAAATCAAACAAGAAAATAGTAACCAAGCTTCATCAAATTTTTGCAAGATTGGTTGCATACGACTGCAATACAGATGTACAAGATATTTGATTGACCTTAACAATAAAATTCATTAAACTCTTGGAGAAAAACCTAAAAAACTGTGTGTTGAAAGTTGCCTGTCGTTTAAAAGTAAATCAACAAAGACCAACAACAAGGGAGATACAGGTATAAGGCTTCACAGTTCTTTACAGGAGAGAGGAATGCCTATAGAATGTGGGTCCAGCTAGTTCAGTCAGACTAGACCTGGATGATTATATAAGCAGTGCATTTGTGAGTTTGACGGATGGTGCATAATTAAAATTCCTCTAAAGTACAGCTGTGCTCGCCAAGAAAACATAAAAACAATAACAAGTGTACTTTTTAGAAATATTCCAAAAATAAGATGGACTCTCTCTACATCTTATGGTTATTGCTCAGCAGGTAACATCTATCCAATTGCTATGATTAATGACTCAACTTTAAACTACAAAGCTCTGGACTCCAAAAAACTTTAAATCAGGATAATTTTGATGAGGAACACACCACGGTATCAGGGCTGCATTTGCTAGCCGAGGCTCACTGGAAATATTCAGATTTCACTCAGCCTTGCCCTTCCCCCCCAATGAAACTCTCGAGCCAGCTCACCAAGGAAACTCGCTGTGTTGGCTGAGTGTATCGACCCCCTGTTGAGCAGCGTCATGACCCTGGCCGTGAAGGACTCCGGCGTGTTGGCGCAGTAGGGCAAGATTATCTGACGCACCATCTGGACCACCTGCACATCGATGGCCTCCACCCGCTGCTGTTCCTCCACAGAGAGTGATATTGGAGGAGGGCTGCTCAATGGAAATTGTGGGCAGATACATCAGTTTAGGCAAATGCCAAGCAAATATTGTGTGCTAAATGTGTAGTTAGACAGGCGTAATCAAACTAGCATCTCCAAGTTTCCAAAGCATCTGAACCGCAGATTCCATTCTTGGCCTGGCCAACAGTGTCGTATGCAGTCTTCACTATATTTGTCATTTTACTGTGCATCCAAAAAGACTACACATAGCAAACAAAGTGTTAAGCCGTGCTCGCACTGGACTTTTTTCTTTCAAACTCACTGAGACAATGGTTACTTTTCCCCGTTTTAAGTCATGGACATCCCAGGAAGTTTTCCTCTCGATGACTTTTACTGAGCCTTGTGGTCATTTCTGCCGGCCAACTTCGGCCCAGGAAAAATTACCGAGACACTTTTCCCGAGATGGAAAGTCCAGTGGGGACAGGGCGAGTTGAAAAAAGCATGGGAAAGTGGCCGGTAAAGCATACATCCAGGCCCGAGCACAACGGCGTGCTGCAGGCAGGGAAACGATGCAACAGCGTTGCACGTTTCACCGCTGTATGGCATGTGGTGAATATTTCCCATAAACCTTTTCCTCGTTTGGTCGCAATCATAGCCGAAATTGTCACTGACACGGTTGAAAGATTAAATGGTGTTAAGAGTGCAACCATTTCCGGATGAAAATGTGCATGGTAACGTTGTGTCTAATGACCAAAAAAAAGGCAAAAAGGTCCTGAGCGCCCTCATAAGTCACTGCATTGCCAGCTCGGTTACTTTACCTATGGTCTCAGTAAAAATTTTCCTGTGTTGAAAGTCCAAGTGCGGAAAGCGGTCACATTTGACCATTTTTTACTTGAGCATTGACTCGGTATAACCCATGGGAAAAAAAAGTGCAGTGCGACCACGGCTTTAGACTATCAGCAACCAGACTTCTGCACCTGTGCAAGTGCAAGTATGCTCACATGCTTATGCACGCCAAGATTTGGCGTGGCGGGTAACATTCTCACTGAGGGAATACGATCCTCAGGGGTACAACTGATTGCCTGGGGGGGGCCAGGTTTATTCTGAATCTACTTTCAGATGAGCTGACATGAATATGTGATTGTAAACATTTTCAGGTTAATGTCTCCAAAGCTAAATAAAGTGTAAGGAGATATAATGTGACCTGATCAATTACTGCAAGAGACACGTTGAGACAAGAACTGATTTAGCACAGATTCACGGTTTCGAGAAAAAGAACTTAGCGGAACAATGAAAGGATAACAAAATAATGCCAATATGTTACTATTTGTGTTAATCTGACTCACTGGTCTGAGAACAGGAAGAGCTCCAAGGCAGCTGCCAGATCCGGCCACATCTCGGTGAAGTGCCCCGCCGATGCGGGTTGCCGAGCAACCGGCAGGCCCACGGGGAGGATCTCCAGCAGGGAGCTGATGGCTAGCTTCCAGGTGGAGGAGGAGGGACAGGCGTTCTTCAGGCCCAGGGGGAGCTGAAGCACCTGGTTGGGAAATGAAGAAAACAAAAAGACAATGTTTTGATGACGTCACAGCTGGACCTAAGTAGGTGTGCTCCTGGAAAATTCTTTGTTTTTTTTAGAAGAGGCAGTCTACGGTAGAGACGTTCGCACTGTAAAACTGACATGCAGATTCAATGAGTAATAAGCCAGTTCGGTATTCCAAAAGCGTGTGCCAAGTACAAGGCTATTCAGGAACAGCTACGCCAGTGTTCTAGCTAGGACCATTTTAGTGCTGAGTGCATTTTTTGATTGCAAAGTGTAGTGAGTGCAGTGAGTGCAGCTGTCGCGGCTCATAGCTGGACTGGATTTGCGCCCTCTATTGATACCGCTGTTCAGCTGGTCTTGAGCCAAGACTATGAACACCTGCACGCTGCCTCTGGGGAGGCTACATTATATCCCATACTTTCACATCCTGGTCTTGTAAATACAATCGGTAGACGTTCTCAATGCTTTCTGATGCTTGACATACAATCAAATTGGTACACTTTCAGTAATATCTCAGTTCATTTGTTTGAAAATCCGTGCTGGGCGGCACAGCCGATTTGAACCTGAGAGCCGGGCGGAAATTTGCAGTACGGAGTGGTGCCGCCCGGCGCTGCCCACAGTGGCTAGAACACTGAACTACGCATGTGCGATCGTCTGTCTTATCAGAACAGCCATGCACTGACTCAAGCGTGCTTTGTTACTGAAACACCTTGGCTTTTTGAAATACTGAACCGGCTCATTACGGAAGCAACCGGCATCATGATTGGGACGGGTCAGCCTATGTCCGCCTGAAGGGTGCTTCTATTCTGCTACCCCTCCCCTTGGAGGCAAAGACAGAAAAAGGGAGCAGATGGGGTCCAGACCAGGCAGCGAATATCTACATGCGTACAGTTTCCGAGACGGTGTTAGACATCAACATCTTAATCCCCCGACGGTAACCGATTGTCGTTGATAACAATTCAAGATGGCTGAATGTGTACCTACAATAGACTTGAATCGAGCTGTACTCTTTCAGACTTGAATCTGCAACTTTTTCGAAAAGATGTGGAACTTACTCTCAAAGGCTGTGGTCTCGCTCTCAAAGATTCAAGACTTGTTCTCAAAGACTTAGGACTTGATTTGGTAGTTGCTTCAAAAGACTTGGGATTGGAATTGGGACTTGTTAACAATGCTGACGAGTGCATAATGTGAAAAAAATTAATTATGGAACAGCTACATGTGAGCCTAAGTGTTTAGTTCACGGGCAAAATCTCTCCATCAGCCGAGTGGGAGCATTCTCACAGGCAATCAGCCCGCCAATCACATGCCACAAATCCACCCACCTTGAGGATGTTCTGCAGTACGTGCATGCGCACAACCTCCGTGTGGCTGGCAGTGTTTTTGTACAGTGCAGTGGTCATCTCCAGTGCCTTCTCGGCAAACGGTACATAGTTCATGGAAACCCAGTCCGACTGTTATCAAGAGAGGGGAAAAACCATGTTCAAAGTTATTGCTGAATGACCATAATTCCTCTCATTCTGAAGAAGCTGGATTGCGTCAACTACTTGTACTGGGATAAACAATTGAAATTTACTTGATAAAGAAAAGAAAGTATTCCCAATCTGGATAATTTCATTTAAACATACATATACAACTGAATCAGTCAAAAATGCTGGGGATGCTGGGCTGCATAGACTGCACTATTCAATAATCGATATTCGCAGCTTCCAGAAAATATCCTAAAGCTTCCTAAATATCTGTTTACTTGTTAACATTTAAGGTAAACATGGAACCTGTCAGGTGTACATGAACAATATTATCAGCTAACTCAAAGACATTAAAGGTCCTGATGTCAAAGGAGTTAAGTAGTAAAACTCGATAACAACGTTGAAAGATAAAAGTGCAGGTGGGAAATACTAGAAGGGTGGACAAGATGATGGATATGGCCATACATACACAGAGATGGACCAGCACTGGAAACGGAAATCCTGCGGCTGGCTTGCCCAGACAGGTACTGACACACTTTAACAAGTCTGAGTTTGTGTGACTCAGAGATTGAGAACTTCAATCAATGTCCTTGTGTGAACAGTTTTTGAATAAACTACTTCAAGCACATTCAAGAACAATTTTCTTAATAACATGTTAGCAATAAGTGATCAGTTTGTCAGTGGTGCTTTTCGGCAACAAACATACTACAGAATGTATTTTACTGGCCTTTGAGACATCATAAACGATTGATTTATGATAAACGATTGATAATGATTCCCCCCATGCTTTCCACAAGACATCAAGGCCACCTCTCTTGGCATCTGAGATGATGCACAAAAAAGTCATACTAGTACACCTTGTCTGGTTTTACCGAGCAAATAGACAATTACAGACAGACAAAAAGAAGTAAAGAAGAAAACACACCAAACATAAATGGGGAATTTCAGAGACTGGATTGTGGTGGGGCACTTTGGTATGGAACGATTGCAGCAGATGTAAAACATCGACAAAGGGGTGTGGAATGAGTTCATGCTTGTATCAATAGTCGATACTGCGCACAAATATGCATCATTCTGTGACAAATTCTTACGTTCCACGGCAAAATATATGCCAGGGGTGAGATTGGAGGAAAACGAAATATCCATGAAGTACTCATCAGAGGTTTTACGTGCCTCACAGCAGCGTAGGGTCAACGGTATAAATTTGTGTTTGCCTACATGTATTGGCCCCTCTTAATATAACAGCTTTCTTATGCTTAATGCCAACTTCAATAATATCCTAATGGTAGGAGCTGGACTTCCAGAGTTTAAAAGAGATTGTTTGAAAAATCTTGTAATCAGGAAAATCCGGATGATAAAAACAAATCCTGAAATCAGGAAAAATCCTGATAAATCTCACCCCTGACATGCACACTGTAGGTACTGTCCTTTATAGCTACTGCATGTGCTGCAACCATGGGCCAATGAAACAGAAGTTTGAAAAGGCGACCTTGAGCTGTCATTTCAACAACTACAAATATTAAATATTTCACACATTTTGAACAGTGACCTTTTGCCTTGCAGCATTAAATGGGCCATAGGATGATTTTCATGAGTACATTCTCGCTTGTGACATTCATTTGATTAAAGCGGAAAGAAGATTATAGGGGAAAAAAAATGAATTTTTACGCTCTCCATTTTGACTAGGCGATTTGCAGGTGTGTGTGGGGGGGGAGGTTGACTTGGGTTGGGCTTGTTTAGGGGATCGGGGTTGCCATGGTAACATACCTGACCAGTGCCTCTATAATTATCCCATTTCTCCTGCAAGGTGATGTAATAACATAAAAGAGGGGAAAAAAAAATAAACATACACGTACATAGCTGTGACATGATGTTTTATTGAATACTTGTTTTAGGGTGAAAAAATTGAACAATTGCACCCGCTAAATCAAATGACCTACAGTGCGTATCAAACACCGTGTCCTCAGACAGCAGTGTGTTTCAGGTGTTGTTTACCAAAAATAAAGCCAATTTTCAGTACAGCACTCAGCACATCGGTAGTCCGAGTACTTAACTGTCTGTCAGCTTTATTTTAAATTGGTAAATGACACTTATGACACACTGTGCTATGGAAGGACGCCATGTTTGTTGATGTTTAATACCCACTATAGGTTACGTGACTTAGCGGGTGCAATTGGTCCATTGAAACGTCAACACATTTTGGGAAATGGAGCATTACTAGAAAATAAAGATAAATATGTGGTGAAAGATGAGATGTGCAGAGGAAGCAAGAAAGCCTTTAGCAAATTATTATATGAAATGTGGAGGCAGTTTTGGACAACAAACCTGCAGGAAGACTTTTTGAATTTCATCATGGTACAGCCTTGAACCCTCGAACCTACAAAACACTTGCCATGCATACATACATGCTTTTTCCCGCCAACCTTGATAGCAAATCTTTGTATTTGATGCCATCGAGCAAAATGAGTCATCTCTCAAATCCTTATAGGAAGAAAAATCTCAGAATAAAATGTCCTAAATACACTCTTCTCACATTTCGCCTTCCACCACCGTTCATCCAACAGTTGTTTCATGTTTCGGATTGTCATAGAAATGAAGTCGACATTGCATGCCTTCTGAAGCAATGAAATTCAATACACTGCCCTAGGTAGAAAAAATGACTCGTTTCGCTTGTTCGCATCACATGTATGCTCCGTCACCACTCATAAAGAATTGAAAAAAAAAAAAAGAGACAAAAAAATGCTTGATATATACTTGACACATATGTAGAGCAACACATGTAAACTAAATGGCCCTGGGCGTCACCAGGATTTCCCCCCCGGGGGGGGAGAAGAAGGCACTCATCAAGAGCAAACCGATAAGCTACTAACAGAGGAAGGGGATCCACTCTGAGATCTCTTCATCTTTTTTCTGGTTTCTCCTGCTTCCTCTTTTACACTTTTTATGTTTCATTTCCCCCCCCCCAAAGGGGCAAGTGCCCCTCCCTCCCCCTAGCGACGCCCACGTACGTGCATGCACCCCATGAGACATGCACAAGTGTGCATGCACAAGTGTGCATGACTGTGGAGTTATGCAAATGAAACAGAGCAGTGATGGCGTACAGAACTCTCATAACATTCAAAGAACTTTGTTTGAGTGATTTCTCTAGAAGCACAACTGGGCATTCAATCTAAACTTTGGAATGAAATGAAAATACTCGTAAGCTCTTCGCTATCTCTCCCACCCCCCAAAAAAACTAAAATCACAAAAGTACGAAAGATCATTTATTGCTAGTGAAAAAAACATTTCAGTGGGAAATAAATTTTTATGACCTTCCTTTTTTTAATTAAAACAACATCAGAAACACTGTTCCTCGTATATTGGGGCTGCGGAAAATAACTCGTCTGCAAGGGCAAATCCAGAATAAAAACAACTTTTTTGGGGGGGGGGAGCAAAATGGGGAATTGGATGATAATCAAGGGAGATCCCAAATTCTTTTTGGAGGGGGATAAGATGTTTTTCATCTGTTATGACCTCACTGAGGTGTGCCACTAAATTTTTGGGTGCTTTATGTGTGCATGCTTTGGGGAAGAACGGAAGAGAAAACCCTGAAAATTTTGCTCTTCACCTTCAAATTTGGCTTTCTTACAAAAGTTAGAACACTTTTAAATTACATGCAGCAACCAAAAATCATGAATACTTTTGTGTTTTTAACATTTACAGCACACTTGATCACGTTCAAACAAATGCGGAAATATTCAGTCCGCCACAAAATACATGAGAGATGACAATGTACCACTGAGAAGCATGACTTGGCACGATGCAGCATTCTTGACAAGTATGCAGTGTTTAGCAAACGTCACTACGTGATCCACATGACAACATTCACAAGTACCATCAAGGAGCGACAGCTAACTAGTGGTGGATTCTTGGCATCTGCCGTGAATGTCTGTGTGCTGGCATTCACGAGCAAGTGACAATGGACTCCATGCGTGTTGAACAGAGGGCGTCACTTTTACTTTTACTAGGAACAACAACCCATGGAAAGCCAAGTCACTGTGGGCGGCACAACTCATTTGGTGTACAAATGGGGAGAACGCACCGGTAATTGATATATGGTTAGCAACCCATGGGGTTTGTGAGGGGACAGTAGTTGCATGGTGGCATGGTGAAGCTTCAATGCAGGTCCAGGCGTTCAAATATTTGTAATTGCACTATAACACGGCATAATCTTTGGCATGACCCTGCAGTGCGTGAAATGAGGCCAGAAAAGTGGTCCGACTAAAAATACTAGCATGATCAAACTTCGTTCTGCCCGGATCAGCTTCTGATCGGACATCTACCAAGGTCCGATGAGAATGCACTCTTACAGTGTTTAGATGCCGTAAGTACAAAAACCAGAGTAAAACCACCAACAGGAGTTTGCATTTGGGGCTTTTACGTGTACCTTGACATTTCCTGTGGTCAGTTTTGCCAGACCACATTTGGATTTGGTCAGACAAGTACTAAAAGTTGCTAAAACATGACCAACGCTGGCATGTAATTTAAAACTCCGACCCCTTGGTCAACCTTGGTATTAGATAATCCCATTCAGTTGACTGGAGACTACATGTAAGTATAGTAGACGAGTGTGGTTTGAGTTGGAGTTAGATACACTGTTGTTAACTACACGACACTTGATAGAAACTGCTCCAGGGTTGTGTTCATACGAGAAGCACAACATGTATATGTTAAGCTTAACATTTCACACATCAGCACAGCCATATTCATGTAAACTGAACAGACAATGTCAAATGGATTATTTCCAGTTGGTAGAAATCTCAATTCATCTGTGACAGATTGTCAGAACCGCATGCGTTTCTCGGACAACTTTACAGTGCCTCAACTGCTGTGACTCACGTCAACAGATGTTACACAACAATTCAGTCACAATGCACGGCAGGGTTTGTTTCAAACTCGAGAAATCTGCAATTTGACGGTTTGTGCAGCTGCACTACAAAGACGGGCACACGGCAGACAGTCAAAAATCAACATTTGAAAACGGAAAAGGACAAGGGTTTGAGCAGTGCCCCAGCAAAGTACCAGGATCTCATTCAGAATATTAAAGGTCAGCCGAGGAACAGTTTCAGAGTGGACAACGCTTTCAAACATGTTTCAGCTAGACATAGTGTTCCAAAGTCAAGAGAACAGTGCAAATTGGTGATGCTGAGGTAATATTTAAGCTGCTCATTTGCAGCAATTGAACATTTCAACTTCTTGTGGCAATCGTAATATCTGATATGTAGTCATGCTGAGTTTATGAAATGGTCTTTAGTTTGTAAGAACACAGGCACTTTACAAACCCATATGGAAAGTTCACAGCTTACCACGTTTTCAAAAAACTCTTTCAGAAATCAGTGCATTTTTAAAACACCGCCAAAATTCCTTCAGCCCAATTGCAAGAAGCAGCTCAGGAGCCTGTGTAGCCAACAGACGTTATTCATGGTGTAGCCATTTTTGATTGAGTTCCCTGTATCTACCCTAGTTGGTGTCATCTGTCAAATAAGACGGTGCTAGGCTGATTTGGGTTCCATACCTCCATTTCATTTCATTTTAAATGTGGCTTAAACATTTCAGATAAAATCAGTTGTAAATTGTCAGTTATTCGTCAGTGTTAACTGACATTAATTGGTACTGAAATTTTATTTCAATTTCACTCTCAGGTTCCCAATATTGCTGACTCATGAATAAAGTCATGTTAACATGCGAGGAGAAAAAGGGTTGACAACCAGTTGCATGCAGTTTACATTACAAAGCATACTGCCTGGTTTACCATTTCTGCTAAGCACATTTTTCAGAGCTTCACAAGTTTCTACATGTCGTGAAATTGGTTCCCAATGGGTAGATAGACAGAACACAACAATCGTGCACACCAGTGAAGAAAAAAACGAAACAATGCAAATGACATGAACTAAATGGAACATGAGCAATCCAACCAGCGTGCAAGAAGTGACAGATTTGCATATGGCACAAGAATCACAGCGACTAATGACAGGAAAAGAAGAGTACGATACCTTCCACTCAAAGATTGCCCGATCGAACTATGGGTGCGGTGACGAGGGGTTGCGGGGCATGAGAACAAAATAAGACCAACGTTACTCCATCCTGTGGGATTCCGACGGGGCCCTCTGTTTGGCAGGTGCCGCCATTTTTGCACATTTACGCCTTTGGTGCAAAGCAGTCATGAGCGTATTGCGCTGAAACTTCAAATGGAGCATCTGCACAAAGAATGCACTGCTACTGTGCACCATCTCCGTAAAAAATGTCTCCCGTTGGAGGTAAATGACTGCTTTATGCTACTCTAAACAGTTACAAAGATGGCAACACCGGTGAAATATCCTACATGTGTGCAATGGCCACCACACAAAAAACTATCGGACAAACAATTGAAATAGACGGCTTCTGATTTCTTAAAGATATACTTTAAAAAAGTGAGATGCCAACTAATAAATGAAAAAGAACATGTACGCTTTTCAATCATTAAAAACAAACAGCTCAGAAAAGGAGGACATCTACTGTCGGCATGGTTATAACAAATTACTAAACATCAAAATGAATTTTGGCAATGCTGCCATAACCCCTGAGCTCTCATTCTGTATCGTGACTGACAGTTGGCAGTTGGGAGGGGGGAAAGTAGGAGGTATAGTGGTATATTAAATAAACATTACTTCAAGGCTATTCAAGGAAAAAGCACAGCTTAACAAGAATAAAATTTTGATATTGACAGAGAAAAATACCTTCCAGTATTTTGGTACGCTTCAGATTGTTAATTTAAAAAGAGAGGAGATTTCTGACACTGTAACATCTGTTCCGATTACTCATTTTGTTAAAAAAAAAGCAGTAGCATGAAGTTGTTCAGGAAAAGAAACGTGGCCACAAAGAGTGGCAAAGTTGGAATACACTGTCGACGTGGACGGACGCTTGAGAAAGAACGAGAGATGTTTGGAACGAAGGACAAATGTGTATGGCTGTGACCATGACGGTAGAAAACCTCACACAGACTAACTGAACAGTAGCCGTCGAAACACAGAGGGGTTAATGAATCACAAATTCAACTGTTTCGCTTGTCAATGAATGGTTGATCAATCGCCTGCTTGAGGGGATGATACATCATGAGAAAAGGACTTAAGTGGACACCGAGGGTAGAACATTTATAAAGGACAGAGGCAACAAAGAAGACAAAAATGTAACGCTAAACAGGCACAGAGAACGAGTGATACGGGGGGAAAATGCAGAAAGCTGGACAGAAATGTTAAAGAGGTTCAGTGGAGAGATTTGGGGGAGAACAGAGAGCGAACCATCAGTTCTACGTAATGAGATCCTTCACATCAGAAGTCAACATTCCCACGCTAGATTCTAAACTGAGAAAATTTAAGACAGAATCTCTTGACCAATCGTGATTAGGATATTATTTCTTGCCCGCCAATGTTCCTGAAATCTGCCAAGTCTTCTGTCTACAGAAGACAAATCTGCTACAGTCTTCTGTTGGTATATCCAACCATATTTGGTCCGTGAAGCCCTCTTGGCAGTAATTTTCCATGAAGGATCTTGCAGAATTGGTAGATGGGACAGAAACAACCAGACAGGACACAAAACATGGAAAAATACACAAATTTACAGAAGTCATGAGTGACGGTGTGGACTCTGACGCTGACGAACCAACCTGTTTGGAAGAGGCTTTGGTGACCACCTTGGTCTCGATCTGGCCAAACGAGGGTGCCTGGCATGAGTACGTCACAAAGGTCAGCAGCTGGTCAAAGATGGCTGGGTACATGGTCTGCATGGCCTCTGACCCTTCCCCAATGGCCTGCATGTCAAAGTGTAACAATTGCAACCATGAGGGGATGTCCATAAAGAACATAAGCACATAACGCCGACATGTACACACGAGTGCCCCCCCCCCCGCACGGGCCAACAATTTCTGTTGCATTGCACGGTCTCTGCATATGCCTCAACCAAGAGACTGGTTGATGTGAGTTTGTCTCGATGAACGTTGCGACCTTTTCAATCCAATACAAATACACACTCACATTATATACTGTTCTGCTTACCTTGGAGCTTTATACGGTTCTAAGAAACTAAGTTAAGCATGAGTTAGTGCTTTTAAGAGCACAATTGTTGTGTACTTTTAACAAGTATGTGAGCCTGGCTGCCAGACAGCTTTGCCTGCCATTACATGCCAGTTTGCTGCTTGTGGGCAAAACTGTGCCATTTAGGAGACTTAAGTCAATATACGCACAACCTGTTGAACAAACACTTAACAAAAAAAAAACTGACTGATTGAATTAGTGTCATACTTTTTTTGTTTTGTTCTGAGCGTGTCAACACTGTTATCTTACCTGCTGGACAACATACAGACAGTGAAGCACAGCTTCTTGTAAGGGTGTCAGATCGGTGTCTGACAACGACGGTATGATGAAGACCGACACGTCCGCTTGTACCGGCACCGACACAGCGCACTGTAGCACCGTACACAGCTTCTGCAGGTCAGCCGCCACGAACCGCGGCCTAATGTGCTCAAAGAGCGGCGGGAATATCTGGACGAGCGCCGTCAGGAAGGGCTGGGTCGGGAGTGAGCTGGCGGTGCGGGAGCTGGGCGGGGTGGTGCTGGCAATGCCGATGCTGTGCCACACCCGCCAAGCCGTGGCCCACATGGCTGCATCGTCCACCAGGGCGTCGGTCGGGCAGGGCTGGGCCGCGGCCGCCGGGGCCTCCCTCTCTCCCTGCTTGCTGTTGTTGCTGCTGCTGGCTTCGGTCCTGCTTGGGGTGCCGTTGTTCATCCGGCTGATGTTCTCCTCCCCGGGGACCTGCAGGTCATTCTCCATGGCATTGGCAAGCTGGGCGGGCTGCATCGGGCGGATCCTTGGCGTCTTGTCCGGCTGGATCTGGAGGATCTCTTGGAAGCTCTTGAGGGCTGCCAGTGACACCTCGCTGCTCTGGCTCAGCGACGACGCCTCAATGTGCTCTAGGAGTAATGCCCAGGCTCGGGGAAAGTCACCTGTAACACCAACAAAAGACCATCAACAGTTTGAACATAGTTGCATCCACAAGTAACTGATCCCAATTTCCTCATGGTCTCTACAAGAGCCAGTGCATATAGACTGGATCATGCTGATGAGATGGAGAGTACATTATACCAATTTTCATCAGACTGTGCACAAACCTAAGTCATCTTCAAAGGAAGAAACCACCTGTTTAAACATCTCAACCCTCTCTTTACTTTTCACTTTTGATGAGGTACTAGTGCATGAGTGTGTAAACAACGTACCTATCAAAAACGCTATCTGTCTGTTTACAAACAAAGGCAATATGGGCTATTCACAATAGTGCGCCTCCAAGAGTGAGCAATGTGTTGACCAATCACAATGCGCGAAATCTGTCAACCCTTTCCAAACGGGCATTGGGTTGACAGGTTGGGCACATTGTTGGCCAACGAGTTGCCAACTCTTGGCGGCTCACTATTGTGAATGCCATCATTACCACTCGCTTCTTGTTGAAGTGGGTCAACTTCACACGAAACAAACAGACTAACCTAGCGCCAGCAAGGCGTGCCTCCAAGTGTTGAAGACCCTGGCCACGCCCGCCAGGCTCAGCACCTTGGTCTCTGCCCACTGCTTCTCGGCCGTGTCTCGGGAGTGGTGGATGAGGATGTTGCCGCTGACTGCATCCTCCACTTTCTCCTGGGCTGCCGTGCCCGAGAGCTTCTTGACCTTGTCGAGCAGGGGGAACAATACCTGACAGAGGCAAAGACAGACGTTCTGTCAGCTAAAGAAAGCCCGTCTTTTTTCTCCGTCCAACAAGAACTGCTACACAATGAGCACTGACAACAAAATTATGATGAAAATCGGAATCCAAGTTGATTCCTTGTTCCAGAGGCACCTGAGTACAGACTCAACACGGGTGCCTAATTTGAGGCAGCTGACAAGCAGAAAATATGTCTTGGCAACAATCGAACGGGAATCAGTCGCAAGAAATGAGCATCAGACATCAATCTGGCCGGTGATCTAGAGGCAGCCTCTGCCATCAGCAGCTCCAGGAACAAAGGAACCTAATCTTGCACAAAATGAAGCCTGGAAGTATTTCACAGGGAACCCACCTGCCACAGCACAATCTGCCAGGTGGACAGCTTCAGCAGGGCCCCGTGGGCACTGATGGTGGAGAACAGCGTCTGGCCAGCGCTCTTGCGCACAGCCGGCCGCGGGTCCACACACAGGTCGGCCAGCCGCGAGTACAGCATCAGCCATACAGCGTCGAAGGGCGGCACGGGCTGCTCGCAGCCCTCAGGTTGGGCCTCGATGTCTTGGGACTCCTTCTCCAGGCCCTCCCGGATCTTGTCGCGGTTCTGGTACAAGTAATCTGAGATGTTCCACTGTTGGGGAAGGACCGGAACTCAATTTAAACATCTCAACAATCTCAAGTCCTATAGTGTTAGAACTTGACCTAGTGCTGGTTGATTTTTCTTGATGACAGCTTCACTTTTATACCACAGATTCCCTGACTCAAGTGCCCTCAAGAGAGGCAAGGAAAGAGACATGAGAGACACGTAAAAGCTTCACCTTGTGCACCTTTTGCCAAAGCTGAGGAGTCAAAAATTTGACCACATTCTGATGAAAATATACAATCATTCCAAGGCATGTTTGCAAAAAAGCACACACGTTTATTTTGTAACTGTAGGAACCACAAAAATGCAATCTGACTGATTTTGCCGGTACAGAGGAAACTTGCGTTAGATTTGGCTAAATACTCCAAAATCGGCAAACATGAGTACACACAAGTCGTGTCTCACATACCAGAGATCTTGTTAATGACCATGTAGTCCCATCCTCTGCTACTGTGACAGCCCAGTCGAAAGTGTTGAATTTAAAATTCCAACACTGAAGAATTTGCCACTTTTTGTTTACCATTAGTCTTGCTAGACAAGGCCAAAAAACATTTGATAGAAAGCTTGCCGCCCGAAAAGAACCTGACTACAATAACAACTATGGAAATAAAAAGAAGATATGTTTCGGGTAAATGAGGTCTGATCAAAGTTTCCGGCCTACCAGCAACCCGACGGCAGTCAGGCTGATGTTCAACTCCTCCCTCTGCAAGCCAAACTTGGCGGCCGTGGTGACGCTGATCTGGAGGCAGTAGCAAGGCATGATGGGAAGGAAGTCTGTCACCACCAGCTGCAAGCTCTGGAAGGCAGTCCGGATCAAGCTCTCCCTGAGGTAACGCGAACGAGGATACCATGAAAAATTGATTTGCGGATTAAGACGGCATCCCTACGCTTGACACGGGGCAAGAAATTTCTACGTATGACCGTGACCGGTGGCACGGGAGAATACATGGATGCACTTTATCATCACCTTGAATTATGTTAATGAACAGTAAAATGTCAAAGCTGTGGAAGGGATTTGTCACTGTGGAAATGTTTATGGCAACATCAAATGCCAATCATGCGGTCACTTTTCTGCAAGGTTATACTGCAGTTAAGCTGCGGTATCAACTGTGGTACTAAGGGAATGAATATACATCGGCCAAGCACATGTTTATTCCCATATATAACTTTCGAGTCAGAATGCCACAAGTTGAAAAAATCATCAATTTCCACCAACAGCAATATTTTGATCTTCAGCACTTTCAGTAATGTTCAATACGGCACAATTTCTCCCCTAAATGGCTTTTGATAGGAATTCTGTGCTTAAAACCTGATTAACGGTGAACCTCTAGAAAGTCAGAATTTGGGCCAAAAATAACGACATTTGAAAATACCATAGAGAACACCTCCCTGACTTTTTCCAGACACACATAAAAAAACAAAGATCTTGCTAAGCTTCAAAGCAGCACTTCCCTCTAGAAAATGTAACAGAGAGATTTCATGAAGCTTCCGTGTTGTCATTTCGATCATCTCTTACCCTTGGTCCTCGGTGACGGCACCGATGACCCCCAGCATGAGGGGCCAGCCGTGGACCAGCGTCTCCCCGTTGCTGGACAGGAGCTGGTGGACGCACTCCAGCTGCTTCTGCCGGATGTCGGCGTGGGGGATGGAGGACAGCTCCTGGAGGGGTCCCAGCAGCATGGTCTGCAGTCGCTGGTAAGGGGGGAAGGGGTGACAGTGGTGACACGGGGACAAGGGTGACAAGGGTGAAACGGTCAATTCTTAAACCAACGTTTAGGACCAGCCAATAACATGCATTATTTCTTTTTATCAATGACTCGTCTGTCAGAAAGTCCAAACAAGTAAAAATTGTATAAATTTCCGACGGTATTGTTCAACAAATTTACTTCAGCTTTTTCAAACACCCCTCCGGCCATGTAATGGTATGTGCCTCTTGCAAGCTGTCTCAAACAAATCTCTTCATGTAGAGATAGGTACGTGAGCGATACACACTAAGTCAAATGCCACAGAATTCAATGAGCCGGTGTAGTGCAAACCTGGGACTCGCAAAATGTGAATTCCTTGGAAATACTGCACACTTTGCAAACGGGTAATTCCAGAAATCAGGGGTACAAACGTGTGACATTTTCATGTCCCTGTTACATCTGACCTTTGTTCTTTGACATGGAAATATCACCGAAATTGTTCTCAAACTATTACTATTTGTTTGGCAGGTATTTTGCATTAATTCATCACTCTTGGAAATTAGAAAATGTGTTTTGAAGTTACAAAATGATAAGTCAGATGTGACAAGGACACCAAAAAAATGGACTGCTTATTTTCTGGAATTACCCAAACACGAGTAAAGATTGTGAATTTTCAAACACGGGAACAAGGAAAAAGGACCAGATTTTAAGGCAGTTTAAATTTCATGTAACCCCGGAAAAGTGATCAAGATCAGCCAGCTTGTGCTTAATCAACTGTTTCAGGCCAGCAACATGACAGGTTCTTGACAAAAAGAATGGCTAAACTGTGCCAGGTATTCATGAATGACAGATGTTATAAGATACTGTGCTCGTGATAAATGTTGCAATTAGTATCCCAACCAGATAGCTCCAGTGGTGCCTACCAGGTTCTGATGGATGGGCGTTTCGTGCTTGTGGGCCAGGGCAGCCTTGACCAGCGTTGTCACGGCCTCGGCCCCCCAACCCCTCATCCGCTGGTGGGGGTGGGCGCACACCTCCAGCAGGTGGGCGGTGACGGGCCGCCACAGGACCTCCATGCGCGACATGTTGACCAGGCCCGTCTCCAGGAGTTTGGCCACGGCAAAGAGGGACGGCTCCTGCCAAATGGTAAAAAAGACGGGACGTGAGAAAAGGACTTATTCTGGTTCCCAGACTGAAAGCCACCAAAGTACTCTAGTTTCTGAAAAATTCCCTGAAACTGGCCAAATTTTTATCCATGCTCTTACAATTGATGACCCTCTTAATTCTTGCCATTTCATGGCACTTGTGTTACCCACAATTTTGTTTCTATTCGTCAATCTCACCAGTTGGAAGTCTGCTGACCTCAAAGTGCCATGCAGAGAAACCTTTCCTGAAGAGGGCACAAAAAGTGCTAAAGTTTAACAATGACCAATGTCACTGCATCTCATCAGTGCACTTTCGCCACTTACCCTATTTGAGTAAGCCATGTCCATGGCCTCCGTGGACAGCTTACACAGCGCATCGATGAGGTGATGCAAAGCCACATCATCCAGGTACTGGGAGCTCTCAAAGAGTCGGGACAGCATGGCCGATAGCACAGGCAGCTCAGCCATGACGGCCGTGGTGATGACCGTGTTGGGTGCGGTCTCGCCGGCCCCACCCGCCGCCACCTTCAGGCTGCCACCGGCCGCTGGCTTGAGGCCCAGGATCCAGACCAGGTGCTGCAGGGTGGTCAGCACCAGGTGCCAGGCCGTGCCCAGCACCGAGCCGTGGCAGTGGGCCAGGCTCAGGATGGCTCGCATGCACTGGATGTTCTTGGCTGTCAGCTGGTGAGGTTGGAGGGATTGAGTGGGGGCGGGGCCAAGGATGGGAAAGGAGGAGTGAGTGGAAATGAATGGAAGGACGGGTCAAAAGGAAGCTTTCCTATAATCAACTTCTTCGCACCCACACTGGGGCCAATTTCATAAGGTTGGTAAGCAAAGAAATTTGCTCAGCATAGAAAATATTTGCTTAGCAAAAACAAGTTATCAGCCAAAATGCCATGCCTGAATATACCTTGTAACCAGTTCAGCATGAACATTTTTTAATTAGTATTTTCTGCTTTGACAGCTCTATTCCCGTTTGACCAATTCTTGGTTAAGTGATGCAATGCCTTAGGTCTTGAAAAAAACGAGCCACTGTTCTGTGTTCACTCAAAGGGTCTAAGGGTTGTGGAAGGGAATGCCAAACGTATCATTCCATTCTATAAAATGTGCTTTGGTGAGAAAAGTTTTGTTTAGTTGATCCACAATTCTACTATTTTAACCCTGCTATGCTGAAGTCACTCTTTGGGTCACTAGGTAAACACCTCCAAGAAGCACAGCTGTGTTGTGTTGTGCACTGCACCAACTGTCTCTCACAGGAATATCAGATTGTACTTTTGTGCTGCCCAACAACTGTGCTTCACTGTTTCATGTGCATCATTGTGCAGCAAACCAAATGCAGTGAAGAGGACTGCGCAAAAGACCCTGGGTCATTTTGTGCTGGCAACCTACTGTGTACA